ACAAAGGTCCTTGAATCAATCTGATCCTCGAGGTCGTGCTAACATCGTCTGTCCATCATAAGCACTTAGAGAAGCCTTCGTACTTCTGAAACGGGTTCGAGGAAATGGTAGATGCCGCCACCAATAGCAGTCGGCTTATGGCACAGGTTCCTGCAGGAAGTAAGGTTTTCGGACTTGAGACATGCTCGGAGAGTTCTTTGGGCTTTGTGATAGAGTTGAAGCTGTAAGTCTTTAAATAGCTCAAGCAAGATTTCCGTCGCAGCTGTCCGATTGTCCCTTCTCTATGTCAAGCATGAGATTCTCAAAGAGAGAAGCGCCTCGGATCACTGCTTTGGTGGATGGTCCTTATCACACTCCTGTGTCACCCCAAGTAGCCTTGTCGGCTAACGTTATTGGGTGCTATCCCCCTATATCATCGGCAGATCCTCCGAGATTTTTCTGTAATCTCATGCCTATAAGTTATCCTCTAGTAAGGGGTAAATGCATGGTGTGATGGTATGTAATTAGGGTCGAAACGTAACAGTGGTTAATCGAACCAGTTCATCATTATACTAGTACTAATAGTAGTAGTCTTCATGTGTCGTGAAATATATATGTAGTAACAACTAAATCATTAAACAACTCTGGCCCAGTCTATGATGACATTCATTGATTTAGCAAAACGTCCAGTAAGTCAAAACTTAGTATTTGTATTCTCTAAATGTATTAGCACCATTGAACTAATATGTGAAATGGTAAATTGACTGTAGTATAGATAGTCGATGGTGTTATCTATCTGGGAAGGCGCGATCCTGACTAATCATAGATTACGAGGTTCTCCGCAGGCTGCAATGAAGTCGTAAGCGCCCTCAAGCCCCCTCTTAAATACAGACATCTTCACACTCACATCTCACTCCTTCTCCTTTCAGAAATTATCTTTTATCTTTGTCATCCATCAAGATGGCTGAAAGCACTGCTTCCTTAAGCTCGGACAGTGTGTTGGCGATCGCCGCATCAGCTCTTTGCGCAGATGGGGCCGCGCCGCCTAGCCTCAAGACGCCATACGAGGCGATCGCTCTAGTCGGCCATGCGTCCATGACAGCAGTCGGCTTCCGCTTAGTTGGACTCGGGGAAGACCACACGCTAGGTACGTGCAATGCGAACACTCCAAATTAATAGAAATACGTCTTACTGATGATTCTCAACCTCTCAGAGAACCAATCCAATAGCCCCTCACTCCCCGCAGAATGGAACGCCAACACGGCCTTTGCCTTCCGCTACGCCCATTCACAGTCGTCGATGCAATATCTGCTCAAGATTAGCCGGCTTGGAAATAATGCTGTCATTTTCGCCTTGGCTTTGGGCGATGACAGAACGACATCCTTCGATCTTCCGGTGAAAGACTACGTCTCCGAATCCGCGCTTCCCTTGCCCCCTACCGCCGAGGATCTCCCAGCAGCACTTCGCGAAGCATTTATATCTCCCTCTCGTATTCAAGACTTGATCGGATTATTTAAGATCAACGTCATCCAGAAGCTGGCGCCTGGACTGTACAAAGAAGGCTACGAAGATTTCGACCAGCCACAGGAGACGTTGCGCGAAAGAACTCTGGAGAGACCTCCACGCCATGATCCTCTACGAGACGATCCGATGCCCCAACCTGCTCGCCCGTACCCATTTGACGACCCCCTGGCGGTGCATCCCCGACGACCCGTCCCAGCTGGGGATTTTCCGCCACCAGGATTTGAGGATGAGTTCGAAATTCAGAGACCCCCTCGAGGATACCCGGGAGGTATGGGAGGAAGAAACCCGATGAACATTGGAGACCGAGATTTGTACCCAGCGGGACTAGGTCCGAATGATCCTTTGCGAGGAGGTATAGGCCCTGGGCTAGGAGGTGGCGGCGGTGGTGGTGGCATGCATCCCACGTTCGATGATCCTCTGTTTGGTGGACCTCGTGGACAAGGGTACGATCCTCAAGCACCACCAGGATCGCGGTATGATCCGGTAGGACCCGGACAAGGGGCACCGTTTGGACGAGGACAGGGGCCGTATGGGGGACGCGGGTTTGGCGGAGGGTTCGGGGGATTTGGTGGTGACATCATTTAAGCGCGGCGGCTGAGGCTTGGGGGCGGAAATTTTGCAGAGCAAAGTTTGTTTGAAGACTACACCGTACATAATTAGTTAGTGCACGACGTGATGACACAGAATGAGTGATGATATGATTTTGTATGTATTATGAATGTTGAGATTAGTGTTACTCTATTATGGAACAATCGATATGTTTGATTTCATGCAATCAGTAAATTCAATGGATGTGTTGTTGTTGTTCTTGTTCCCCTCCACACCAATGTGGCGGGTACCATAGAAAGCTGTAATAATTTCTGGGGCAAGAAAAAGGGCGAAAGAAGAAAAGAACAGGGTAAGTGTGGCTGATGCATAGCTGGAAGGGGAAGGCGGGCGGTGTGGCGCACGGACTTGGGAAGCCCAGTTTTGGGCGAGTTTCGCACGACCAGCAAGAACATACTGCTAGTTAAGTTGTACCTTCTCTCTGACTGTTCCACTGACCACCACCACTACCAAGCAGCCACCAGCACCACCGCCATCCCAGCTCACACCTCCCTTTCCCTATTCTCTCTTGTCCATTCCCCTCCCCCCAACCTTTTCCCTTTCATCTTTCTTCCTTCCCCCCTCCAATCCCTCCACATTTCAAACCCCCTTATTTACCCCTCTTATCTTTCTTCAATCTGTGGGTGACAGGGTTTGCTGTCCCATTCTTGGTCCGTCAGTTCAATTTCCGTTGGTGCACCGTGTCTCGTCCGACCGACCTGGTTCTCCCCCTCTAAGAAATCCACGCCTCCCTCACGAGACCTCCCCTCCCCAGTTGGTCCCGCTCCACCGGCCCCCCTCGGTTGCAGTCATCTTGAACTCGCTCTCTTTCCCCCCACCACCCTCATCCTCGCTTTTGGTGGTCACTTTCAATGGACAATAACATGGAGATCGATACGGCGCGGTCGCCCGAACCTCACCACCTCTCCCCGACCACCGACCCGGGGTCCATACCCACCCTCGATGGATGGATCGAAAGCTTGATGACCTGCAAGCAACTAGCGGAGGAAGATGTCCGGAGGCTTTGTGATCGGGTGTGTGCTGCTTCTGCTGGGAATTTTGCGTATATCTGGGAATGAATAATCCTAATCGTGGTCGTGTTTTTTTTTACATAGGCAAGAGAGGTTTTGCAGGATGAGTCGAACGTGCAGCCCGTGGTATGTGATTGACTTTTCTGCTGTTGTTGTTGTGGCCTGCCTTCCCGCGCTGCCCGGCCCTGCTCGTGGCCCCGCGGCCGTTGCGACCGATCGGGACTGACTCTTTTCCAATCTATAGAAATGTCCAGTGACTGTGTGCGGTGACATACACGGTCAGTTCCATGATCTGATGGAGCTGTTCCGCATTGGTGGCCCCAATCCGGATACAAACTACCTGTTTATGGGTGAGTTGGCGTGTTACCGCTTATGCCAGTCGTCCCCCTTGGCTCACCCGCCCGCCCACTAGGTGACTACGTCGACCGTGGTTACTACTCTGTAGAGACCGTCACGCTCCTTGTCTGCCTCAAAATCCGTTACCCCCAGCGTATCACCATCCTGCGAGGAAACCACGAGTCGCGCCAGATCACGCAAGTCTACGGCTTCTACGATGAGTGCCTGCGCAAGTACGGCAACGCTAACGTGTGGAAATACTTCACCGACCTTTTCGACTACCTCCCCCTCACCGCACTTATCGAGAACCAGATCTTCTGTCTGCACGGCGGTCTGAGCCCGTCAATCGACACCCTTGACAACATCCGCTCTCTGGATCGGATTCAGGAGGTCCCGCACGAGGGTCCCATGTGCGACCTTCTGTGGAGTGACCCCGACGACCGATGCGGCTGGGGTATCTCTCCCCGTGGTGCTGGATACACATTCGGGCAGGATATTTCGGAGGCATTTAATCACAACAACGGCTTGACTCTGGTGGCACGGGCGCACCAGCTGGTAATGGAGGGTTACAACTGGTCCCAGGATAGAAATGTGGTCACGATTTTCTCCGGTATGCTGCACTGCAGAATTTGGCTCTCGTCACGCGTGATATGGGCGGTCCTGACTAACCACGTTTCTTCAGCTCCTAACTACTGCTACCGCTGCGGTAACCAAGCCGCAATTATGGAAATTGACGAGCATCTGAAATATACCTTGTATGTGGTGACCCCACCGTTGCAATTGGGGAAGTAATTTTACTGACGCAATTTACAGCTTACAATTCGATCCCTGCCCGCGTGCAGGAGAACCCATGGTCTCGAGGCGCACACCCGACTACTTCCTGTGATTTGATTTTTGTGATAGACATAACCGGCTCACCTCTGGCAAGTTGAGGTTCTCCGACCCTTCGAAAGGGCTCCAGGGACGTTTGGCAACAGAAAGACACAACCAAGGCGGTCTGGCCTAAATAATTGTATGTCCGTATTTCTGACCGTGTTGATACCAATTCATGAAAATAAAAGACGTTCCGAAGACTTGTTGTTTTTTCTATACCGCCATAATACAAAACAATGTGCATTCTGGTATCTTGTTGCCACCCAGTGGGGGGTCGCTGCCTGAAAACCGGTATGCGCCTCAGGTAGACATACACCACACCTGCATTATGAGCTTCGAGCCCAATATGACAGACCAACCGTAGTCATTTATCATTTTCTACCCATTTGTCTTGAATTTAGGCATACTCAAGCATTTGGTGGTTATCCTCCTCTGTTGCCCCTCCTCTTTTCTGAGCGGTGAGCCGCCTAACTCTTCTCTCTAAACCCCTCAACGAATGCAAAGAAATGGGGAATCATGTAGTTATGGCATTCTACGAGTGATGGTACCTGAATATACTATACGTCATGCACACGTCACACTTCTTCAGAGCACTCACAAAAAGGTAATGTTGGCATATACGACTAGTGTCTCAAATATGTACAAACAAGACATCTAGTAATACAATCATGACAAAGATCACAGGCATAAACAAGGACACGCACACAGAAAAGCAATGGCTAAGCTCAAGGGAGAAAAACAAAATCAAAACATAGCATTACATGTGCTATACAAAATTTAGATCTTCATCCCCTGAGCCTTCTTGGCCAATAACTCCTCGACTTCCTTCTCGTGCTTGGAGAAGTTGTCAACGAGGTTATCCCACATCTTAGGCTCGTGCTCGTGGCGCTTGTTGCTTGTCCACGCGTAGTCGGTGATGGTGAATGGGCGACTCGACTCGAACATGAATGCCATTGAGGCCTCGGAGATCCGCATGGCTGGCGGGTCGACTTCCGTGGCAGCTTTGAATTCCTCGTAGGCTACGCCGTGGGGGACCACTGTTGATGATTGACTTAGATGGATGATCTATTTGGTTTGTAATGGGGGAGATGCTTACTGCCACATTCGAAGGAGACACTTCCGGGCTGGAAGGCGTCGGAACGACCGCCGTAGTCGCCGTAGATGAGACCCATCAGTTCGGAGGCGGCGTTGCGGTGGTAGTATGGAGGTCGGTAGGTGTCTGATTTCGTTGTTGTTAGCGAGGTGGGAAAGTCAAGTGATTTCAGATTGCGGGAGGAACGTACGGGATGCAACGTCCCAGCGAGGTGAGAAGATGAGTAGATCGGCCAAGGGAGCAGTGGGATCCCGAGACTTGGCTGTAAGGACACAGAAGATGGAGGGGTCCATATGATCAACAGAGATGGAGCCGACGTTGACGAACTTGGTCATGTCGTACTTGTAAGGCACCTGTATGACCCATTAGTCTACTTTTGCTCGGGAGCATGCTGGACAGGGGAGTAGCATACATAATTACCGTGCCAGGCAACCACGTCAAACGGACTGTGATTTTGCGTACTCTTGAAGAACTTTCCGCCCAGCTTGTACACGATTTCCCAAGGCTCCTTGGAGATCTCATACTTGGCTGTAGGGTAGAGGAAGTCCCGTGCATTGGCGAGTCCATTGGCACCCAACGGTCCCAGCTCAGGGAGTTCGAATTGACTACCCCAGATTTCAAGAATGTAACCACGAGAAGGCCCATCAGGAAGCTCTACGCGGAATCGGATGCCGCGTTGGATAATGACAATCTCTCCGGGCTGGACGAACAAGGGGCCAAACTCGGTCTGAATGTCCAGTGCACCCTGTTGAGGGACGATGGCCATCTCACCATCCGAGTTGACAAAAGCCTTCTTGGTCATGCTGGTGTTAGCAGTGTAGACGTGGGTGGCCAGGCCTTCCCGGAGGGTTGGCTCGCCCGAGCCAGCCACAGTCTTCAGACCAGAGACGAAGTCTACTTCGCCATTGGTCGGAATGTCAAAAGGGTGCCAGGCAAGCTGGGTAGGGGAGACATGAACGCGGGGGTTCAGAGGGAGAAAGTTGGATTCTGTGTCCTTGTTATCGGGAAGGTCGGTCTATGGTCAATGTTAGTAGGTAGCAATTCTGAATGACAGATGCAGAACATACGAATCCCTGGTGGGCAACAGCCGGACGGGCACGGTACAGCCATGCCTTCTTGTTGCAATGTCTCGGGGCAATGAAGGCCGTGGCCGTCATCTGCTCGGCGTACAGGCCAAAGCGGACATTACGAGGACTGTTTTGGCCCTGTGGAAGGGTGCCAGGCACAGCCTCGGAGGCGAACCTAGTAGATTAACTACATCAGCCAGTTGAATCGCTAGATGCAGGAGAACGCTTTGACATACGAGTTGCCGAATCCGGCTTGGTACTGTTACGCTTGAGTTAGCGACGGTAAGCAGAGGATAGACATTGGCACAAGACACTTACTTCATAAGGATCATTTCGTCTGGTAGCGAAGGAGGGAATGGCGCCATCCTTTTGTGTCTCTGCCCAGTGGAAGATCTTCTGGTATTCTTTGGGGTCGGCGAGGTCACTTGTGGAGGGCATGATGGGTGGTAGGTCTTGGAAAGGAGCTATTGTAGAAGAAAAGGGGGCTTGGAGGAAAAGAGAATACAGCGTTTATGGAGTCATGAATCGTGATATATGGGGAGAAGAGCCGGGGCAGGTTCCAGCAGGCTCATATACTTGAGCTGGTGGAGTCGGTCCAAGCGGGAAGCCATTATGAAGCAATTAATCAGACCGCTGGCCATCCGGATATCCGGGCCAGCTGATTCCAAGACAGCAAGTCAGGATGGATGGATGAGACCAGAGTTTGGGAGTATTGGATGGGTTGCATACAATATGGGAAGTTGGCAAGTAATTGGGACTGTTCGGCAGATGTCGAGGGGGTAGTGTTGCCGAGAGCAGTAGAAGCCATGAGGAGCTCAGGCAACTTCAGGCACCTCAGGCATCAACCAGTGGAGCGACCCCACATGAGTCAGGCCTGAGTAACGGTGGGGAAGTTCGCCCGCCTTTGGGCTTGCGGGGACACCCCCGGGTAGCAGTCACCGCTGGAATTGCCGATGTATACTATATCCTCCCAAAAAGAAATATGTATTTGTGATACAGACAAAAGTAATAATAGTATAGGATGTGTTAAAGGCATTGTATTTGAAAATTCTTCTATGTATCGCAATTGAAACTATGGAGTAGATCGCCGTCTAATTCAACAAGCTAATCTTGCCTGCCGTCAAGGCAAATACAACAGGCATATAGACACCCATCCCAGCCTCTCTTAGAGCTTGAACATGCTCGACCCGTCGTCTAGACGCAAATTGCGCTTCAGAAATCTCTCCACAGCTCCCCAGAGGTCCGTAGGCGAATCTTCGCTCCGTAGACCACGGACTACCCCCGTTGACGAACTGTACCCAACGCGTCCGCATCTCCTGACCGACAGCTTGTGCAGCAGGGTTGAAGGACAGGTCGACGCCATCAAACAAGAACAGCAGGTCAACAGCGTGATGGGCTCGGCTGGATGCCTGCCACGGGTTGGCCTGGTCAATCACATACTTGTAGACTCGTTTCCCTGCTGCCTGCAGTTTCTCGGCTACGACTTCCACCGGCAGTGTATAACGGACATCATTCACAAGATCCAGTGCACCCAGCTTGCAGGCGGTTGGTCGATCAGCGACAACCTGATACATCTTGCGTAACTTTGTGCCCCATTTCTCATCCTGCGAAAACGCTGCAGTAATGGCTTCTCCATCGAATGTCTCGATTCCGTTCCTCCAGATGACCGACTGCACGGAGGTAAGTATATGCTTTCAAATACTGCGACGAAGGATCACCCACCTCATACTCCGTATCGCCAATCATGAGTTCGTCCACTAACTCAGACTTGCCTTCCCATCCTTGAAAATCCTCATCCTCTTGTATCCACATGGTGTTCACATTGCACCCCTTCAATGCCTGCAATAGAGCGGGCACCGACGACAGCCGGAGTGACGGCTCGCCCAGTTCCTGCACCTTGGCTTCCAGCGCCTTGATGAGACCTTGACCCTTCTCAACCGGCAAGGGAGAAGAGAGATAGAGCGATCCAGAAGCCAGAACGGCCCTCTTAACAGGTGTACCGGTGACTAGATGAGCATGAGTATATACCGCCCCAGCACTCTCTCCAGCCAATGTGATGTTGTTCTGTAGGGATACCGATTAGCTTTAGTAGATAGACCACCGCGCGACGTAGTACATACTGGATCGCCTCCAAAGGCGGAGATGTTGTTCCGCACCCATTCAATACCCAGTTTCTGATCCTTGACAGCAAGGTTCTTCTCCTTGCCGTCACCAAAGCTGAAGATATTGAGTCGGTAGTTGATTGAGACGAAGATAATAGGCTGGCCGGTTTTGATAGAGTCCGCGACAATTTTGACGGGATCTATTGACTCCGTTGTCAGTTGCTGATGATGGAACACTCTTGGCTTCTCTTACCGCAGATCTTCGATGCAGCTGAGCAAAACGTCACCACCTGGGATCCTCCTGTACGATGTATTTAGCAATTGCTTTCTAGACAGTATAGAAAGAGCATATGACGTTACATACCATATATCCACAAAAGAACAGGAAGAGGTCCTTTGGCAGAAGACGCCGGAGGACAGGTAATATCCAAGTTCAGACATTCAAATTCATCCTCAAGCTCTTTTTCAATTGGAAAGTCCTCCGGGATGCGCAGCAAATGGCGAACATCAACATCGACCTGTGGACACCTCGGCCTACCCAAGATTGAATCTAATATCAGCACTGATTCACGCATCCAGCATAGAAGGATTCTAAACAGTACCCATATTGAGAAGCATCAACCACAGCATCCCCAAAGTCATCCACCGGCTGAGCCCGCTCAAACCGCGCGGGGACAGATGCGTACTTGATACCCCTAAACTCATTCACCGTGACTCCCTCCGACACCCTCTCAATCCCCGTAAAAGTCGCACGGAGGCCCTGGTGTTGTAGTAGCGGAGATGTCATTTTTCCAATGCTTTCACAGTATGCTACACATGAAGAAGAGTAAGTATAATTGAGGACAGTTTCCAGGGCGATACAGCCGGAAAGACAGGCGGGGATGGTGCCACCGGCTCGTCATCCTTCCTATGACGAAGCATTCTAGCTCAGCTTCGTCTTCGTCAGTGATTTCTCAGCATTCGTTCCTTCTGATCCGGCTCATGATTCACCAGGAAATGCCGATATCCGAGCTGTCTGGCTGGGTGACTGGCTGGATTGAGGGCAACTTGGGGCTGGCCGTCATGAGGTGGGGCTGTTGCGGGGAGATCCACCCGCTGCCCTAAGTTGGGTCTTTCTTTTCTACTTTTGGTCGATCTTTCTGGTTCCTGGCTGGGCTCGGTTCGAAGGCACGGAGGCGGGAGTAGTTTTCTTGCCGTTTCACTAGTACTAAGTGCCACTGGTCTGATTCTCTTCCTTGTCTTCCCCCTCAGAACAACAACTCCTGGAAATTGTCTATCCTTTACCCCAGTCATTACAGTCCTCGATACGCTTGATTTCGTTAGAGAGATATGTCAATTCTTTGTCTATTGAGGTGAGAATTCTTTACCAGACATTACTACTATGTATATACATTATCTATGTTATCCGTCTAACCTCGTTCCCGCCCCTTTTCTTTGCCTTTTGTTTCCTTCTCTGCAATCAATCACTCAGCCGATGAAGCCGATTCACTTCGCTTTTTCCTGAACAAAAACCCACCCAAGAACAACAGAATAGGCACGCCAGATACACCAGTCAGCAAAGCCAAAGCCCACGTCATGGTCTTCCAGCCCACACTTTGCCGGATAAAGCCCGCAAAGAACGGGCCAACAATGGTTCCAGCAGCATACGCGGAATTGAGGATGCCATATGACAAAGCCATGGCACCACCCTTACCGAAGATATTCGGGTCCTGCGCTTCCTTTTCCTCCACAATGTATGACGCCTCAACCAACAGGGGAGGCATCAATGAGGCTATACAAAAGCCGATAAGAACCAATAATGCGCATAACAATACCTTCTGGCCCATAGAATCGTGCGTGACAAGACGGAGCAGCACCATGAAGGGTACGGTGGAGAACAGTGCTCCTGCCGCCATGTATCGTCGTGCATTCACAAACCTGTCATTGATCCAGCCGAAGAATGGATCGGAAATATGAGGAACGGACAAGGGCACGAAAATCAGCCCCTGGCCTGTTTGGTCCCAGCCAAAGGTGTCCTCAACGAAGAGAGGAAGGACGCTGTCGAACGAGGTCAGGACCACGGAGACGATGAAGTACGCCCAGATGGTGACTATCATGCGCTCTGAAGCGAGAAGAGTAAGAACAGCGCTTCTAGTCTTCTTGGGACTCGCATGTCCAGCACCTCCAGCAGACTGCTGTCCAACTGAAACCGGGTCCTTTGACTTATTACCAGATGCAACAGCGGGCAAATGATCAGTAACATCTTCCACATCAGAGCACTTCTCCATGGTTTCCGACGGCGAAATATCCGGACTCTGTTCCTTTTCCTGTTGCAACCACTTCACAGCATGCTTCTTCTCGATCATGACCAGCCGCAAAACAATGTCCACGCCAACGAGGGCAAAAGCCAGAGCGAAGACGGCATAGTATCCGCCACGGGCGTAAATAACACCACCAAGGAGTGGCCCACCCATGATTCCAAAGGTCATACCCATGCCGATATAGCCCATTGCCTGCCCAAGGCCATCTTTTCCCACCGTGTCGACCAGCAACGCGGCTCCGACCGTCCATACAACCGCTGCAGATGCACCCTGGAAAATACGCCCGATGATCCAGAGACTAAGGTGAGTCCCTACGCAGAGTAGAGCCGTGGAAGCGCCCAGCGCCAGCAATCCAACTATGAGTGGCCACCATCGAGATTCAAAGCGGTCGGCGATGTAGCCCGCAACGGCTGGTATGACAGTCCGTTAGCATGAACATTCCTTGAACTCAATATTGCAAGGGTGATACTCACGCGATGCTGCTAATAACGCTGCGCCATACAATGCTAACAATATAGACGTCCATGATTGTTCTATCCGATATTATAGTCAGCACAAACTCACTAATCTGTAGTACCGAAATGGTCGACTCACCCTGATCAACAGACATCCCGACCCTCTCATGTAAAGCGGTAGGAGCCACGGGAACAATCTACGATTGACTTGAACATCAGCAAGCTGAACCCAGATATAAATGAATTTTCAATGGTACACTCAAGCCACGTACCAGTCCATAAAGTAACACATCCTATCCAACATCTGGTAGTTAGCACGTGGGTCAAAAGAAAAAGCAAAGCCAAGCATACCGTGAAGACAGCAAAAACCACCACAAAGATAATAAACGCATTAGATGACCTCCACTTCAAGAATACCGGTGGCTTGGTGTCATTCTGCCCTGGCACTAAGCCACGCAGATTCCAGGTCATGTTATAAGGCGGTATTGTATGTACTATTACTGCTTGGATGGGATTGGGTCGTTCCGCAACATCGGGGCTGGCTTTACCGCAGCGCTTCGATGAGTGTGTGACTTTTAACGGAATGATGTTTTTCGTGTAATGCAGATCAGGAAGATTACTTAAGATCAGGGAGCTAGATAGGATTTATTATTTGTATCAGGAATGGAGGTCTAGTTATACGTGTATGAGCGAGTGGCCGATCAGGGTCAAATCCTGTTGCTAGGCGATCTGCTCGGCGCCCGCGGGGCCCGAGCCCAGTCTTATCGATGGGTCACAGACTCATCAGCGGGAGGGGATGAAATATCTACAGATTACGGCGAAGATGAGTGGTTGAATACTGCTGGTTCTGGAATATAAAAGTAATATTGGTGACCAATAGTTTAGTGGCGTATTGATTTTCGTGACTCATGGCATAATGCTGCCTTATGGGGGCTACTGCAGGTCTCATATTCGCCACCGTCTTCATAGTTTGTACATCTCGCTGCGGCTGCGCACCCCGTCAAAAATGCAAGTGTTATCCAAGGGCACATACTGCCTGGTAATTACTTTGAGCGCCTCCTGCGCGACTAGTCCTCCGGTGAGCGAGGAGATGTTGTGTAGTTCACCGCCTTGTGTCCTCCGTAGCTCCTGGGCGGCCTGTTGGATTCGCTCCCTTGCGTCTCCGTCCTCAATAGCGGATGGATCATCGGTTTGAAGCGCAGCAATAATGCGTTCGATTGCAGAGTCCCATACCTGTTTATCATCTAAGGCCTCTTCTGATCTCTTGCCTGCTTGGATGTCGGTGATTATGTCGTCGAGGACCTGGAAGGCAAGGAAAGTCGGCACAAGGGAGTCTGGAATATTGATGTTGTTTCGAATCGCCTTTAAAGTTGTTGCCTCCCCATCCACTATCGGAATATCGCGGCCATGGATAACCTTGATGTGAGCCGCATTCTTGCAGAAGACCTCAATATCCTTGTCCGAAGCTGGGGCCGGGCGTGGTCCAAGCTGTGCTTCAAGGCTTCGGACGATCTGGGTAACTTCTTCTATGTCCTTTCGAGCCTTTGACTTGTAGATGTTCTGAAGAGAAACATAGTCGGCTGATTGAGCCTTCATATCGGGTAGAGAGCCCGGTAAAGGAAGTACACTGTGTCTCTGGTAGTATTCACGGATGGCCGCCGCGATAATCCAGAAGTTGGCCGAGTCCGGGGCTGGGTGCTTGCATTCCTCCATCTCAAAGATCTCACGAAGAGAACTGCGCAAGCTGAATGGGTTCAAGGTCTTCAAAACTGCGGCAACAGCCTCATCATAGTTCTCCTCTCCACCTTCTGGGTTGCTTGTTCTTGCACTAGACCGCACCAGTTCCCTGAATTCTGATTTCTCTTTGTAGTTCGACGGTACCTGGCCATCATGCGCTTCTTTCCACTGTTCTAGGTGATGCAGAAGAAGCAGAATGTACGGGACATGGCCATGCTGGTGATCATCCAGGCTGTCCAGGTTGCGAATGCTAGCACCGGCCGCTGCCAACTCAGGCCAAGGGTTTAGGAGACGGAGATCCTGTGTGCTTTCAGGATCTGGATGTGTCTCTACTATAGGGAATGCGGCCGGGAGCTGGAGAGAGAAGGTGGAATAGAATCCAACCGAGCGTGTGTAGATTACTGGGATGCCAAACTCTTTAGCAGCCTTGCAAATGGCCTCCAAAGAAGGGCGTTTTACCGGTCCAGACACCAAGACCAGCTTGTGCTGCGGAAGAAACTCAGGGTCCTTCAGCAGTTCTGAGATTGACTTGTACTCAGTCTTCGTTAGCTCTGCAACAGGATCGAGCAGTTGGGGTAGATGAAGTCACCTTAGTATAGAAGCTTCCATCTACGTCCGGGTTTAGTTCTCGTAGCAATCGACAGGTCTCCTCAGCTCGGGACTTGCCCAAGCTCTCTTCTTCCACGAAAAAGTTGACCCCGAGGTCCGGCTCGGTGACAACTGCAGGGTCCACAATCGTGAAACCTCCGACTCCAGGAAGTACAAGGTTCTTAAGGGTTTCCACGCCGACTACACCGGATACACCCGTGTTGTGCTTGCCCCAGGGTTCGTCAGAGTTGACGAGAAGCACGCGGGACTCTTCTAGAGCTTGCTGTCCACTTGCTGCCCACAAGCGCAATTGGCGATCATATTTCCTCTCTTTCGAGGACGGTCCAACCAAAGCACTCGGGAAGGCCTCTGCCATGAGGGGCTAAAGCGGAGAAGAGACGGAGATAGACAAAGACAAGTCGGATCGAAAGAGGGGGGATCAACAAGCTGGAGTAATGTTCCAGTGACAATCCCTGGTTGTAAGAAGATGGAGCAACACGATCACAAGCACCCGAATGGACCGATGACTTGTTGAGGTATTGATATTCCGATCAAGTAAGAGCGTTGGAATCCATATGTTGGCTGCAGTCACATGATCAAAGCGATGCACGGACCCACCAGAGCTGCTGATGGCCTTGTTGCCTATATGCCTGAGGCTGCTAATACTATGACGACACAACCCCGCCGGAGGAAAAGACGCCGAACAACATTCAGTCAACTCCGGAATTACCGCTGATCTACTCTGTAAGCGGATGATATAAGCTGTCAAGATCTCAATTGCTATGCCATGAAATTCGCACTTCCGCGTGGCTGTCTGTTATCCCTGTAAGTGGTCCAATCCTTTAGCTGGAAAACTTTCCCTGGGCTTGTCGCATCTCACCCCCACCGCGGGCATCCACTACAATTGACGGTTCCTCCCCGAATTTGCAGGGGCTCGATTCGAGGGTTTCTTGTCCCCGGAATAGTCCGCCTACTAAATCTTAAACAACAGACCCCGGCTCGGCAGTTTCCCCTCATCTTCTATTTATTCTCGTGTTCGTCTCTGCTTACGACCAGATCGCCTGTCTCCTCCCGTTGTGCCCCTCTTCTCCCTTCCCAACGCTACCTTTCGCCGTCAATCCACCATGGCCAGCGTCGTCGAAGCCGCAAAGCGCGCAGCCGGTAAGGCTGCCGTTGAGAACCACTACCCCAAGGACGCCAAATACGTCGGCATTGGCAGTGGTTCGACCATTGTCTATGTGGTCGAGGCCATCAAGGAGTCCGGAATAGACACCTCCGCCACCAAATACGTCCCCACCGGCTTCCAGTCCAAGCAACTGATTGTCAGCGCTGGTCTGACCGCGGTGGACTTCGATGCCCTCCCCGAGGGCACGGTTCTGGATGTTGCCTTCGATGGTGCCGATGAGGTTGACGATGAGCTGAACCTGATCAAGGGTGGTGGTGCTTGTCTCTTCCAGGAGAAGATTGTGGCTCTTCAGGCCAAGGAGTTCATCTGTGTGGCTGGTCAGTACATTATACGCCGATCGATAGTGTCTGGAGGGCATGCGCACTAACTTCCCGTTGATAGACTCCCGCAAGCTCCAATCCCGCCTGCTCACTGGCTGGAAGTACATCCCCATCGAAGTCGCTCCTATCGCGGCCCGTCGCGTTCTCGGTGCTCTCAAGGAAATTGGCAGCATTGACCCCGCTATCCGCGTGAACTCCGATGCCAAGCAAGGCCCATTGAAGACCGACCAGGCCTTCTACATTATCGACGCTCCCTTCAAGACTCTGCTGACCCAGGCAGACGTCGCTGCCGGAAAGGACGGCAGTGGCAAGGACGGCGTGTGGGAGGTCCACGCCCTCTCTCAGGCCATCAAGCAGATTCCCGGTGTTCTCGACGTGGGCATCTTCTCTGGCGTGACGGGCCCTCAGGCGCAGGCGCTCGGTGGTGTCGGAGGCCAGAAGCCAATTGCTGCCTACTTCGGTATGCCTGACGGCTCGGTGTCTGTCAGAAAGGCCGCTGCTTGAATGGGACTGCTCCCTAACGCCATATACGATACGTCAAGAGATTAGAAGAAAAAGTACAAGTACAAATGATACCATGTAGACTGTTAGCACGAATCGGACTATTTTACGCTTTCTATAACCTGGTGCCTCGTAACTGTGATATCTCAATGAACCAAAAGTAAGGACAAGAACACCAGTCTCCGCACGCCGGTCATCAAGACAAAGTAAGTTATTTCATAAGGCGACAATGTACTCAGGTTTATTTGGCGCCCTTCCCCTTCGCTTCTGTCTCTCCGAGCTCACGTACAAAGATCTTAACCGTCCCTTCGACAACATCATCTTTCCCATCCTCGAAGCCCGGACTAATCGCAATCGCCAGGTACTTTCCATTACCGCTAAAGTCCACGGCAGCCACACTCGACGGGTACTTCTGGTACTGTCTGATTCTCCTCTTCGCGATACCATCCCAAAGCGCGACCACTCCATCACCACCGCCGGAGGCAAACGTACCGTGGACCGGGTGGAACGCCAGCGCATTGACAGGGTAGACGACGTCGACATCATCCGCCGTCTGTCGGTGACACTTGAAGGCATATTTGCGGGCCTGCGACTCAGCAGATGGATCGAACCATTCGACCGCAACACGCCCCTCAATGCTGGATGACGCATATCCTGCATCGTCAGGCATGCATGCTACCGAGCGAGTCATGAACTTCAAGCTGCTCTCCCTTCGCTGCCAGGGCTCGATTTCAATCTTGTTCGGGCCCGTACCCTCCGACTGAGCGGTGAGCATAGCCAATGCTTTCAGATCGTAGATGTGTAGGGCGCGGGAAGCCATTGCGACGACGAGCTTCGTAGCGGTAAGAGACATGGAGAAGGGCTTCGAGGGGAGGGGAATGATAGCGGGGGCTGTGGCGGGATCGTTCGTCGGGTGCACATGCAGCGTGGAGTCCCAGGATGCGGATATTACTAGGTTGTGTTCCTTGCTGAAAACGACACTGCGAACGCCAGCTTCGTGGCTACTGAGGACAGTCTGGGTGGATGATGCTACATCAATTCTGTTTGGTGTCAGCAGGGAATGGATTAAGGATGCGCCGGTTGGTAACGGAGGAGACATGCACTCACTTCTTGACGTCCCAGTCCAAGCCAGCCGTGTAGATCTCATCCTCGGTTGCGCCGAAACACACATCCAACACCGGAGCACGATGCTCGAACTTCTGTAACAGCTTTCCTTCTCCGACGGCGCCATTCTCGTCGCGCAGGTCGTACAGATACACGTTCTTATCCCATGAAGAAACGACGATTCGCGTGGAGTCGGGGTCGGGCGAGAACTTCAAGGCGGAGATAGCATCCGTCGGCGGGGACGCGACAGAAAATTGATCTGGTACCTGTCAGTGGAGGATGGTTGCCACATATAGAATTCGCGACTTACTTGACGCCATATTCTTTGCTTGAACCTTCAACGAGCCCAATTGTATATCGTTGTTGATCGGCCCGTCGTCATGGAAGCTTCACCTTCAGACCATTTTCTGCCGTCCACCACCGCCCTGGAATATTCTCCCCGCCATCATCATCGATTGATTGCATTGACGTCGGACATTCTCTAGATCGAACACATTCTTGTGCGCAGATCTTCATCATGCCGTTCGCACAACTTGTGATAGGGCCCCCGGGTGCCGGAAAGTCAACCTACTGCAATGGCATGCACCAGTTCCTCGGAGCTATTGGTCGCAAATGCTCCATTGTGAATCTGGACCCCGCAAATGATAAAACATCATATCCGTGCGCGCTGGACGTTCGCGACCTTGTCACGTTAGAGGAAATCATGAGTGAGGATCAGTTGGGGCCTAACGGGGGTATTTTGTATGCGCTGGAGGAATTAGAGGAGAACTTTGACTGGCTTGAGGAGGGACTGAAGGATCTCGGAGGTATGCGCATTCTGCCGTGAAGATGTTACTGGAACAAACGCTAATGCTTATATACTATAGAGGACTACGTCTTGTTCGACTGCCCGGGCCAAGTTGAACTGTTCACACACCACTCTTCCCTCCGGAACATATTCTTCAAATTGCAGAAGATGGGCTACCGAGTATGTCATAACCCGCCTCATCCGGAGTTACATGCTATGCGCATACTAACAACGAACGTTGCGCAGCTAATCGTGATCCATCTCATCGACTCCTACAACCTCACTCTACCATCTATGTACATATCCGCCCTTCTCCTCTCCCTCCGCGCCATGCTCCAAATGGATCTACCTCACCTGAACGTCCTCACCAAGATCGACAACTTATCGAACTATTCCCAGCTGCCATTCAACCTTGACTACTATACAGAAGTGCAAGACCTCAGCTACCTTCTACCGCACCTCGAAGCTGAATCATCACGGCTATCACACGAGAAGTTTGGACCGCTCAATAACGCGATCATCGACCTAGTGGAGGAATTCGGACTAGTGAGCTTCGAGACGCTAGCCGTAGAGGACAAGAAGAGCATGATGAATCTCCTGCACGTTATCGACCGTGCTAGCGGCTACGTCTTCGGACCCGCCGAGGGTGCCAACGACTCCATCTGGCAGGTTGCTGTCCGCGAAGGCCTGGGACAGATGGACATCCGAGACGTGCAAGAGCGGTGGCTTGACGCGAAAGACACATACGATGAGCACGAGCTAAAGCAGCTGGAGGAAGAGGCGAAAGCCAACGAAAAGGCAGCCGAAGAAGCATCAGCAAAGCAACCCAATATGAACTTCGATGATGACGACGAATACGACGATCTGGGCAGGGGTTCGATACCAGATGGCGGCGTGAAGGTTATACGAAAATCATGACATGACATGGAATCTATTCCAGCATCTATATTCCATCCACACACACACTGTATAATATAGGGTATCTCTAATGAAAACGATCAAGACAAAACTCCCAGCACCCAAACCTAAGCCCCCACCCTGAAACATAACTCCCATACACATCAGTCCATCATCAATCATCATCCTCACTCATCACCACATCCACATCCACATCCACATCCACATCCCCCTCCCCCCCAGTACCCGGCGTACTCACCTCCCCACCCACATCAACCAACCCACCCAACAACCCCTCCAAAACCCCACTCTCCTCCGCCTCCCTCAACCTCACAATCTCCCTCCTCGCCCTTCGAATCGCCTCCTCCTCAGCCTTGCGCATCGTCCCCGACACCCTAATAACCCGAAACACACAAGCCCTGGTCGAACTCGACCTCTTCGACCCAGGGTCACTAAATCCAGGGACCTGCGACATGCAAGTCAACGCCGTCCAGACAAGCCGGAACGACGCGCGAGGACACCGAATAATCGCCGTCGAAGTAGCAGGGGAGAGATATTTCACTGTACACCCAACCAGTTAACCAAACCATCAGTCTCACTATCCTATCCCAACACAACATAGCAGGCCAAAAGCGCAAAAGTGAGATCAAAGATGAAGGCAGGGGAAGGAAACAAACATACCACTAATACCCCCCGCGCCAGCCCCACCTAATCTACCAACACCGTAATCGCCAAACATGAGGGAGACTTCCTCTCGCACCATCTTTGCTAGGAGACCCGGTGTTAGGGCGTCGGATGTGGGCGAGTGGATTTGTAGCTGTGCTTGCGATTTGGATTTGGATTGGGGGTTGCTGTTGCTGTTGCTGTTGCTGTTGTTGTTCTTGGTGCGGGAGGTGGCTGCGGGCCATGTTGAGGGATCGGGATAGAGGATATCGAGGAGGATGTAGCGGTGTTTGAGGCGGACCATTGTTTAGTATTTTGGTGGTACTTGGAGATATGGAGGAAAGTTCGAGGTGATTGTGTTGTAGTGATGGGAGGTTGATAGTTGGTTTGCGAAATGATTTCTGGGTGAGATTGTTTGCGCGCCACCTACTAGTAGAGTGCGCGTGTGGTATTAGTATTATTGAGAATTCGGCCGTGGTCTGAATGGGAAGTTTGACGTCGATTGATTATGTTTGAAAGCTGGAAGATGGTAGTTATATCGAGCAGATCGGCGCGGGCAGAGGCCGTTTTTCTGCCGCATGTGGGCCTGCGCTGGACATACCGCCTACTCGGATGAAGAAACATACTTTGGGAACCGCAGATCAACAAATCATGCATAAAAAAGTCCACTACAGCAATACATCTACGTTGATCTACGATTTTGATAAAATGCACATTTCTTTAATCGTTGCGTGATATTCATCAACCTTTAACAGCGAGTCATGCCACATGTGCCACTACAGATTGTAAGTTGAAATAGATGAGATATGAAGCGAACCAAACCGATGCAGACAGAAACATGGGTGAAAAGAAAACAGGCCATCACAACTCCGACGTCAACAATGACGGATTTTATGACTAATCCATGAGATGTAAATGTATTAAGTAAAAAATTAGACGCTGACCTCGACACGGCCCTCGGAGCCACCCTTCTGGAGGGCGGGGAGAAGGTAGGTGATGTCATCCCAGGGGTGTCTGTACAGACCAGTGCGGAGTCTCTTCTGGTCGAGGTAGTGGGCAATGAGACCAATGGAACGACCAAGGACGAAGAGACCGTTGAGGACACCCATCTTCATGTAGTCCTCAACCTCCTCGGAAGAGAAGGCACCGCAGTTGCGCATCAGGTCAACGAAGCAGACAGCAACGCAACCGTCGACGTTGAGGATGAGGTTGTCCTTCTTGGAGGTGGTGACAGTCTCGACGGCAATGGCGTAGTCGAGCAGCTTGGTGCTGGGGAAGTGCTTCTTGGCGAACTCCTTGACGAGCTCGACACGGAGATCGGGGTTGTTGCGGGACTTGACACGGTGACCAATACCGGGGACTGTGCATAGTTAGCGAGGCTGTTCGACATTACAGGTACAATGAAGGTTCACTTACTCAGCTTGTTCTCCTTGCGCATGGTGTCAACGAAGTCACGGGGGCTCATGCCCTTGTCGAAGGCCTTGGTGAACTCCTCAGCAGCGCCGTCCAGGGCACCACCGAAGCGAGAACCGATGGTCAGGAGACCAGAGACGAGAGCGCTGATCAAGTCCTTGCCGGCACGAGTGGTGATGATGGTGTTCATGGCACCAGACACGGCAGGACCGTGGTCAGCAGTAAGCATGAGGACCATCTCAAGGAACTTGCTGGCGTAGGCAGGGAGGCGGCGGCGGAACCACAGAAGAGACATAACACCACCAATGCCAATGTCCTCACGGAAGACATCAGAGATGGGCATACCGGCGTAGAGGAGCTCCTGGCCACGGTCGTCGGAGATGGTGGAGATGAAAGCAGCGGGCTTACGGACGAGACCCAGCTCCTGAGCCCAGGAGTAGTCGATGGGGATCTTAGGGACGGCAGGCTCAGGCTGGGGCTTGACGATACCCTTCTTGACCTGGTCATCGTAGACCTCCTTGAGGGTCTGGGGAAGGTCCTCGAAGGTCTCGGGGACGAAGATACCGGCCTCACGCATGGCCTTGTTCTTGGCAACAGCAGTCTCGAGGTCGGAGTTGGCAGAGGCACCAGCGTGACCAAACTGAACCTCGGTCTTGAACATGCTAGCGCAGGTACCGATGGCCCAGGCGACGATGGGCTTGGTGATAGTGCCATTCTTGACGGCCTCGATGACGCGGTACTCCTCAACACCACCGACCTCACCCAGCAGAACCAGGATCTTGCACTCAGGCTCAGCCTGGTAGCGGAGCAGGTGGTCGATGAAAGTGGTACCGGGGTAGCGGTCACCACCAATGGCAACACCCTCGTAGACACCGTCGGTGGTCTGGGAGATGATGTTGTTGAGTTCGTTGGACATACCACCGGACTTGGAGACGTAACCGACGGAGCCCTTGCGGTAGAGCTTGGAGGCAACGATGTTGTCCATCATACCACCAGTGTTACCGATCTTGAAGGCACCGGGCTTGATACCACCGACGGTGGCAGGTCCGATGATGGTGATGCCCTTCTCCTTGGCCTTGACCATGATCTCACGAGCGCGCTGTTCTGCTGTTAGCGGAGAGCAACATGGTGTCTCTGATTTGCAAAACTTACTCTCTCGGGGACACCCTCAGCAATGATGGCAATGGAGCGGATCTGGGGGCACTCCATGAGCTCCATGGTGGAGCTGTAGACGGAACGGGAAGAGGCGAAGTTGACAACGGTGTCAACGTCAGGGTGCTTGGCCATGGCCTTGGAGACATCCTGGTAGACGGGGAGAAGAGTCTCGCTGGTACCCCAGTACCTGTAATTGCATCAGTATCTCAATTCAGGAGATGGGACCTGGTTTGCCGTACATCTTGCTCACGAACTGGCCACCGAAGGTGTAGATGATACCGGCGACGGAGGGAGTGGAACGCTTGCAGATGAAGTCGAAGTCAAGCATACCCTGGACAGCACGGGGCTGCATACCACTATGGCAGGTTGTCAGCCAGAGCAATTGAGCACGGCTATAGACCACAACTTACTATACGAAACATCTCGTCTTGTTGTGGAAGAGGGCGTTGCTGAGGGGAGAGCGCACACGGCTGGGGGGGTCGAAGCGGGTGATGTTGTCGTTGGCGGAGGCGCCATTGGCGGTGTTGACGAGGGGAGCAGAGGTAGGCATGTTGGCTGAATACTCTGTGAGAGCGAGCAAGATGTCAGTGTCAAGAGATCAAGAAGGTTTTCATAAAGCGGGTGCTGTGTGGGAAGAATCCGTGGGAGGGGAAATGCATCCGCCATGGTAATAATAATATATCGAACAACCCACATACCTGTCAACAGAGTTGGGAATAGGAGAAAGGATTAAAGGAGGATATTATTAGGTAGGTATGGGAGATATAGATAAATGAAGAAGTGACAAGCCGCTTCGTGAGACTGCGACCTGAACACAAAGGAAGTGTGGTTTAGGATGGTAGAGGGAGAAGGAGGGAGAAGAGAAGAGTAGGAAGCTGGAAGAGCGAGGCAACCAGATGGAGAAATGAGAAATTGGAAGGAGGAGGAGGAGGAGAAAGGAAGTGGACTGATGGGAAAAAGACGGGAGATGAGAGAAAAACAAGATGTAAGATAAAAAGAAAATGGAACGGACAAAAAAAAAAGTAGCTAAAGGAGGGGACGATATCGGGAAGCTTGATGGGGGGGTAGAAAAATTATGGGGCCAAGTGAGGAAAGAGCAGGTACATAGTACAGAGTTGGTATGGGCGTATGAATGGGGTTCGTATCGATCGTACCATACAGTATCAATGATCCTGGCGCAGGCAACTCTTGGTCCGAAACAACCCAGTTGGGGAAATCTCGACAAGGATGGATCACAAATGGGTCAACTTCGCTAGAATAGTAGCAGCTATGGGGGGGACGTTTCACTCGACCGGACTAGTGGCAAGCAACCCGAAATGACATTGCGCAGTCAGAAGCCGATTCTCGTCTATAGTTTTGAGATTGGAGATGGAGAGTGAAAGATTGATCCTTACGGAGTCCGGAGTCCGGAGTATAGTACTATGCTCACAAGACGGGTGAATCAAGCGAGTAGTGAAAGATTCCAACGCCCAACAAACTCCGTGGGGGATTGATTGACCGATCACTATACTACTACTGTATCTACTAGGAGAGGCGTAGGGAGGAGTACTCCGTAGTTGTGTTGTCTACAACAAACTTGGTGACTACTGTCACCTGTTCGGCTAACTAATCGGAGGACTCCGTTGACTGCCAAAAATGAGATTGTAGGCAAGAATCGGAGCATGCAGAAATGTCTTGAATCAGTTTAGTATATGTTAAAAACCGAAATAGACCGTCTGAGCAACACCGAGACCACGGTTCTCCGTATTACGGGGGCAAGGGCATTCTGATTGATACTGCGTACACATCGAACCGGGAGGTGGTTCTGGTGGTCTGGTTGGGGCTAAAGCGGGTGGATCCTACATCCGTCTGCTGGATCAGCAAACTGGAGGTCCCAATTGCGGCCAGGGACTGGGCCGATGCGTATGCACGAGGCCCCGTAAATTCAAAGGAGGTTTTTCTTTCCACTTCGCTGGCCGCTCACCGAAAGATCAAACGGCGGTATACTACGGGATATTACTTGGAAAGTATGAAAGTATGCTTCTGGAATCATACGGGCACCTACCCAAGTAGGTATATCGCCCTTCCCATCAATCTGTGGTATGTACATTAGGTTTAGGCTTCCAGCATATTGTATGTAGATACTAGATAGAGTAGTGCTGCCATGTTACCATCCC